TGCTGCATTCAGCACACAACCATCCTCCTGGAAACTTCGTATCGAAAATCAAAGCCTCCCTTTCAGAGCGATGGTGCATCTACAACTCTGACCATCAACAAAGTTACCGCACTCGACTATGGGCCGTATTCTGTGGTGGCCAAGAACGATTACGGTATTGCTTCATCGGTTTCTGTGGTCAAAGTGATCGCTCATCCAGGTACGGGTTCGTAGTCTCGGTGATTGTTGAATCAAGTTCTGTCAGCAATCATGAGGTAGCAAAGTGAAGCCAACACGTCGAGCATTCTTAGATAAGATGGGATTGCATGGCGCTTTTCAAAACTTTGAAGGCTTCCTTGAAAACTGCTATTGTGGGTTAGAGTGAAGGATAAGTGGCCTGCAACCAACTTCATTGAATTCAGCATGCTACGAAACTATACATAAAGATAAAAAGGATAAAGCATTTGCCGTTGATCAATCCCTTTTGGGATGCGGCACGCATTCTACTTCCATTTGTACATTCGCAGTGGCGTTTGAATGCGATGTGGCCTATACAATGACTTGCGGGGGCCAGCCGATGTACAAGTCAGTGTTTTTATCCTCCCAGACAAGTCTGGTACCAATTAACCGACCCCGGAGGGATGGAAGGCTTGGTTGGCCCGGGCGACTCACGACCCAGGATTTGATCCCCGGACCGCTCGCGTGGTAAGCGTGCCACTTGCCACTACACCACTTCCGCCCAAACTTACATAGTACCCTCTAACTTAAAAAATACGAGTGACCTGGAACCATTTTTATAAGAAAATTTCGAAATCCATCGTTGTATCGAAGTACAATGGCACCCTGGGTAAGAGTATTTGACCGTGAAATTTCTTCTTCCCTGCAACTCAGTTGCGATCCCATGACCGTTCTTGGTAAAAGCACGTTATTAGTAGATGTATGTAGGTGATTTGAGCTTTCCACCTGAGAACAGTCAAATGCTTCATAGCTGTTCAACGTGTCCAATCTCCTAACTGGGTCAGCTGCTGTGGCTGTTCATTCTACAACTACCTATCCAGCAGGCTTCGTCAGAATATAAAGTCGGTATCCGTTGAATTCACGAAGTAGTTGAGCCAGGTGAAAATGTAGTTCGGGGGGGGGCACCCTATCTAATCGAAGTAGAGCTGCGGAAAGACACCTATATCTAATCAAAGAGGAGTTGCCCTAACGACTATTAAGC